CCAGCTACAAGTTCCACCGTGGTCGTCTAGTAGTTATGGCATTTGACTAGTAAGCCAAAGGTGGCGGGATGAAGTCCTGTTGCGGTCGCTGCATTTTCGTTGGAGGCGAGAATATTTGAAGCCCGTGATTTTAGAGTTAGAGGCAAGTTAAAGAACACCAGATGGTCGGGATTTCCGGAACCACGGCTTCGCTAATAGTCACATCGTCGTTTGGAGCGTTAAACCCTGGATAGTGTTACGATAATATTAAATTGCTACAATTTCATTACCTTTTCCAAACACACAAAGATAACCATAGTTCTTTTGCAAATAACAGTCGACGAGTGAGCTCATCCGTGAATTTCAGCAGGTTTTTTTCCAAGGACTCTAAAAGTCGAAATTAAGACACTTCAAGATACAGAACTTTTCTAAAAAGAACATTCAAAAATTACTCTTTACAATTTGAGAATTACTTGACAACAATAATTAAATCATTCAAGTGTTAGGATAACAGAGAGCTGATCATGTTGGTACGTATTTATTCAGAAAAGCTTTTTTTCTTTTCCAAGTTCGGTTTTGAAATAGCCTTTCGATTTTTTATTAGTATTGCCATTTATCAAGCCTCCTCTAAAACAGTCTGCTCACTTGATATTGTTTTAAAATCAGACTCACGAGTAAGCTTGTACACTTGCTAAATCATATGTTAGACCTCTTGTAAGCTTCAACGCCATTGATTTTTTACGTGGTATAACTGAAGTATGCTTTATATTTCCATTGAATAAATGGGGTTAATATACTGGAAACTTAGGTAAACGTTTTTATTTGCTTCAACTAGGTGGTGGCAACAACGGAAAGTCATGTCCTCGCGAAGCCGCTCCGTAAAAATTCCTCTCGATCAAATTCTAGCTCCCGCTTTCTGAACAGATGCAGTGAGCGAGGCTCTTGCTTGCAGGGCTGCTATTACAGGTATCATTGGCGGTGTCGAAACTATCCCCATTTTTCTACGATCATCGAGGAAATAATCGGCTAAGCTATTCGTGCGCTTGAAACACCTACTCTTTTGTTTCCAGTTTACATAGCCACAACGGTCGTTTGCGAAAGGCTTGGCGCTTCACCTGATCAATGTAGTACTCATACGTTGCCGTGAATCAAACGGTCGAATATGCTTAGCACTTTAAACAAATATAGGTGCAGGAGAAAAAAAAACAAAATACACAGTTCTACCAGATGTGCGCCTATTTTGCTACGCAGGTGCAAGGACGCTAAAACTACAAAAAACCACCTGAATTTGAGAGCTCTAAAGATACCCCGATTGCTTTGTAAGCCTGTGGCGCGATCAGCTATGGTCTTATGGTATTCCAGCTTGTAATGCACGGTCAACTCGTCAGTGAATTTAATGCTAATGCAGTACTTTCATGGTCATGCCATCGAGCTGTTAAGGAGACTAATGAAGTTTCATCCTCTCGTGCAACGGGCTATTGTGTTTAACGTTACGTGCAGGCCTAATAGACAAGGCTGCTAGCAGGGCAAGTTAGAAAAAGTCACTTTAAACCAACTAGGAGCAAACAATAGAGATGACAGCGGAGAGAACATAAATTTTTTATCCTCCTGCCTTTCCGCAGCCTCGTGTTTGCACTCAAATTAATAACGAAGGCTTCTGTGCACCATTGCTGTTCCTATGTTTAAGTTTTCAGACTGCATTTGATTTTTTATTTGTAATTGATAGCCAGGAAGACCAGCCTTCTAAACTCAAGTTTAGTAGTACTAGGACTAGACTGACTATAATGGGCCACACAAAGAATATTTCAAGTATCCCAGTGCCTTGAAACGCCAGCATATAAGACAAAATTACCTTTTGGCTGTAAACAAATGAAACTCAGTTGCACAAAATGACGGCGCATGTTTTTACAATCGATTTATTCAACAAACAGCCTTGTCGAAGGTTTATTAATGTTTTCTGGAGCGTCACCTTCTATATGCCTGAATAATAGGAGCGAAGCTCCGTAAGTATGAGCTTAGAGTCCCGTCGTCATCGTATGTAGTCACCTCTCTCAAGTTCTTTAACCGAGCGTAGGGTGCGGTACTTGTGCTTGTAACGAAATTCATATACGCTAAAAATGCAAATGTAATGATACTAGAATACGTTACTTATAGTATGATAAATATAGAAAGTCACAGCATATCCATGGGGTGAATAATGATGAGTGGGGCGAAGCGTCCGTCATTCTGTCCGTGCTTCTGGCCGTCTGTTCTTGCTTGCTTCCGTCCAACCGTGCGTGCGTTCATTTGTGCGTCCGTCCATTAGTACATCCGTCCATGCGTCCGTTTATCCGCTCGTCCGTCTTTTCGTACGTCACTTCCAGGCGTCCATCTGTGCATCCGTCCGTGCGTCCATCTGTGCATCCATCCATCCGTCCACGCATGCGCCCATACCTGAGTTCGTCCATGCGTCCATCTGTCCTTTCGTTCATCCGTCCGTTCATTCGTGCGTCCATCTATGCGTCTGTCTGTGCGTCTTTCGGAGCGTCCGTCCATCTGTGCGTCAAACACACTGACAGACACGGCCAGAGGATAATTAACGGTTTGCTGATAAAAAGTATGATACGCGCAAGGTGAAGGCAGCTCATGCTCACCCCGATGTGCAAGCGCACGTCAAAATAGGATTGACGTCACACGAAGAAGTTGGCGATTGCTTGTTCGTGGGTGTGGTAAGAGTGCTTCTCACAACCAAAATCGAAACTGGAAGTGAAACCGACAGCGGAAAATGATCGACGAAGACAAAGTGTGCAGGGGGTCAGACGAACGCGAGCGCGTGAGTTTCGGAACAGCGACGGGCAGAGGAAGAACGCGGCCAGCTAGCAAGAGCGCTAGGCGTTGGGCCTCAGGGGACCGAACCAACGAGCGGGTGTCACCAACCCAACCGGGACGAGCGTGGCATGTTCCTGAGGCGAGTGGCGGTTCCGGGCCGGGCCTGACATGCTGTTCCTGTGGCGGACGAGCGTGCGGGCCAGGGCAAGCGGCTGATCCTGTCCAGACTCGGGTCCGGCACAACCAGTCACCGAGATCGTGGCCACGGTGCCACGTCGGAGCCGGTCCGGCACAACCGCCAATTGAAGGTGCGACCTCGGTGTTGCGTCGGCCGCAGCGTGAGGCCGCCTGGTCCAGCACGAGCAGCTGATGGTCTGCTCGTGAGCTTCCGTGCACTTGGCAACCTCCCCGTGGCGAGGTTGCGTCGTCGACGCCATCGTCTTCAGCGGGAGCGTGAGTGGCACCCGACGGAATTAGACTTCCGAGTAGTGAGGACGCGTGGGTTACTCGCGGGCGCGTAGACATAAGGACTGTATGACTGAATTACGGAGCCAGTGTGTTGTACAGATAGCCACAGTGTTGTGATTGTTTTGTGTGTGAAGTCAATAGATGTTTCTTTTGTCCTTGTCTTGGGTTTCTGCGTCTGAGGGCCCAAGAACCACCACAATTGGCGAGCCTGCCAGGATGGCTTATTAAAATCTAAAGCCATTACTCAGACGCAGCCTTTGTCATGGACAGGGAGAAATTTATTGCACTTGGCCGACAGCTAGGGTTGGAGAACGAGGAGCTCAGAGAGTGGGTTGAGCGAGAGTGCGTTGAAGCTCGAGATGAGCGTGCTAGGGAGCGCGAGATCGCGAAAGAAAACGCTGAGAGGCAGCAGAAGCTGTTAGAGCAGCAGCAGAAGGTGCAGGAACAAGAGCTGAAGATCCTCGAACTGAAGCTTCGACTTCAGGAGAGCGCAAGCAGGGTACAGCCAATGGTGGCTGACGAACAAGAAGGATCCAGCATGAGCGCCAGAGGAATAACATAGGTCTGCAGTCCTCATAAACTGATTCCGCCCTTCAATGAGGCTCGGGACGACCTCGACGCGTACCTGCAGCGATTTGAACGGGTCGCCACGTGTCAAGGGTGGCCGCGTGAAAAGTGGGCTCTTTCGCTTAGCCTATGCATGACAGGAGAAGCGCTAACAGTCATAGGCCGGTTAGATCCAACAGCTGTGCTGAATTATGATCAGCTGAAAGCGGCGCTTCTTCAGAGGTGCCGCTATACTGCGGAAGGCTACCGCGAAAAATTTCGTAAAGCGAAGCCCGAAGAAAACGAGACTGGTCTGCAGTATGCTGCAAGACTTTCCGGCTACTTTGACCGTTGGCTTGAAGTGGGAAAAACGGAGACAAGCTATGCTAGCTTGCGAGATCTGATGATAAGTGAGCAATTCATGAAGGGTTGTTCTCCGGCACTCAGGATCTTTCTCAAGGAGAGAAGTTGCAAAACCCTGAGTTCGCTTTGCGAGACTGCCGATAACTTCATGGAAGCACAGGCGCTCACAAACTTAGGAAGAGAACGGATTCCCAAGGATCCGGGACCTTCGGTGTCCAAGCCGGAGTCCGCGAAGAAGACGGAGAAGCCTGCAAGTCGCTGTTTCTTTTGTGACAAGGCAGGCCATCGCGCAGCCGACTGCTGGTCCCGCACGAAAGGGAATACTTTCAGCCGATGCGGAGTATGCAAACAAAGTGGACACAGCAGTGACAGATGCCCCGGTAGAAAATTTGGCAAAGACCAGGCATCATGTATGCTATCGGAAAAAACGTGAAGACTTGACACCTGAACACCATAAGAGTGGCTACATTGTTCTCCAAGACGGCGGAACAATACCCATCGTCAATGCCACATCAAGTCGACGATCCGCGAACGTTGGAGTCGCTGACATGCCTGTTGTGGAGGGGTTCCTAGAGGACAGACCAGTGCATGTGCTTCGAGACACCGGCTGCAACACGGTCGTCGTGCGGCAATCCTTGGTTCCGAAGGAGAAGTTCACGGGAACGACGAGCCCAGTGTACTTACTGGACCGTACTGTGCGATACCTCCCAGAGGCAAAAGTCCTTTTGCAATGTACATTGTTTACTGGGGAAGTACTCGTTAAGTGTATGACCGACCCATTATACGACGTAATTTTGGGCAACATCAAGGGCGCGGCATTGCCGGATACGTTACCCATGAATGAGTCAGCACCACAGCATGACCATGGCCATGTGGAAACAAGGCGTGCACCATGCACAGACTCTAGCAAAGGGAATGCTGTCAATAGTGAGCAGGGTGTATCTGGCAATTTTCACGCAACCCAACCAAGATCGAATGCAGAGGAAGCGTATGAGCCCCCGCATGAAGCCATGGAAAAGTGGCCCCTTCCGAAGATAACCACCAACTTGGCAATGGGCGAAGAGAGTCGTTTCAGTGGCAGGAAGAAGCCTATCGTCGCCGAGAGGGTCCTGGGAACGGTGAAGTGGTTTAATGTCAAGAACGGCTATGGCTTCATCAACCGCAACGACACTCACGAGGACATCTTCGTCTACCAGACGGCCATCACGCGCAACAACCCACAGAAGCTGCTGCGCAGCGTCGGCGAAGGTGAGACCGTCGAGTTTGACGTCGTGGTCGGCGATAAGGGCTGCGAGGCAGCCAATGTGACCGGACCCGATGGTGAGCCTGTTCAGGGTAGCCCGTACGCGGCCCACAGGCGCCCGTTCCGACCCCGCTGGATTCCACGTCGCAATCAACGAAGGCGCGGGCCGGCGTCAAGGCGTGGCCGAGGGGAAGATCGAAGGGAGGAAGCAGGAAACCGAGACTCATCGCGATCACTGCCACCGCACCAGGACCAGAGCGACCCGGCTCCTAGACGGTGGATCATGGATGGCGTGGGGAGGCCCTACCCTTGGCGATACAACCAGCGTTTCAGAGGAGTGCCACGAGCACCTCCGCGAGCCCCACCACCGCCACTGCCGCCACCGCAGCGTTTCATTGTCGATGAGCCACGGTCAGCGTACGCCGAAGAAGAGGTTTTCAACGAACCCCCACCCCGGCGCCCTCCACGGCGGTTCCGTGGCTGCTACTTTCGTAGACGACGTGGCCGTTTTCAGAGCAACCTGGAAATGGCAGGACGGAACAACTCCGGAAAAAAAAAATCTCGAAGAAGGAGTACGGGGAGGTAGCGGCGGAAGTGGCAACAGGAGCCAGGAGGACTCCCAGGACAGGGGGAGTGCCCCTTCGTGGCAACGACCTCCTCTGATGTACCGACACCCAAGGTCCCGCCGACGCAGAACCAAGTCACAATCCAAGAAGGCCGGGGCCCGTAATGGACGCGAGATCGAGGCGAGCAGCGGTGGAGTCTCCTTCTTATGGAATATGACTTTCACGTGGAACACATTCGTGGTGTGAACAACGTTGGTGCCGACTACATGAGTCGAGCGGCTTTTACCGAGCAGTGACTTATTGCCGTTGTACACAATTTTTTATCATGTTGTCATCATAGTGCAATTGGTTTTTTTTACATCTAAACTGTGACATTTAAAGTGTGCGGAACCTTTGTTATATTCGGGAACTGTGTGTTACGTGTGTACAACGTACTGGAAGTTGGGGGGAGTGTGGTAAGAGTGCTTCTCACAACCAAAATCGAAACTGGAAGTGAAACCGACAGCGGAAAATAATCGACGAAGACAAAGTGTGCACGGGGTCAGACGAACGCGAGCGCGTGAGTTTCGGAACAGCGACGGGCAGAGGAAGAACGCGGCCAGCTAGCAAGAGCGCTAGGCGTTGGGCCTCAGGGGACCGAACCAACGAGCGGGTGTCACCAACCCAACCGGGACGAGCGTGGCATGTTCCTGAGGCGAGTGGCGGTTCCGGGCCGGGCCTGACATGCTGTTCCTGTGGCGGACGAGCGTGCGGGCCAGGGCAAGCGGCTGATCCTGTCCAGACTCGGGTCCGGCACAACCAGTCACCGAGATCGTGGCCACGGTGCCACGTCGGAGCCGGTCCGGCACTACCGCCAATTGAAGGTGCGACCTCGGTGTTGCGTCGGCCGCAGCGTGAGGCCGCCTGGTCCAGCACGAGCAGCTGATGGTCTGCTCGTGAGCTTCCGTGCACTTGGCAACCTCCCCGTGGCGAGGTTGCGTCGTCGACGCCATCGTCTTCAGCGGGAGCGTGAGTGGCACCCGACGGAATTAGACTTCCGAGTAGTGAGGACACGTGGGTTACTCGCGGGCGCGTAGACATAAGGACTGTATGACTGAATTACGGAGCCAGTGTGTTGTACAGATAGCCACAGTGTTGTGATTGTTTTGTGTGTGAAGTCAATAGATGTTTCTCTTGTCCTTGTCTTGGGTTTCTGCGTCTGAGGGCCCAAGAACCACCACAGTGGGCAGTAACGTATGCTAGGGGGCGCGGTGTAGTAAAATAAAGGCCGTTTTGGCACACGCGCTCGTTCAGAAGGTCGGCAGATGGACAAGGCTGCAGAGCGTCGTGCACGCAAGGCCGCAGTGGCTCGCGCTCGATGGGAGAACCCCGATGTGCGAGCCCGTGAGGCAGAAGCGTTCCGTGAAGCTGCGCGGCGGCGTCGGCAAGATCCCGGCGTACAAAAAAATGGCCGCATATCCATGGAGTGAATGATGAAGAGGGGGACGAAGCATTCGTCCGTCCATTCGTTCTTGCTTCCGTCCATCCATGCGTGCGCCTGTGTGACCGTCTATGAGTCCATCCGCCCGTCCGTGCGAGCGTCTGTTCGTGCATCCGTCCCTGCGTTCGTCCATGCATCGACCCCCACGTCCGTTCATGCATCCATTTGTCTGTGTGTCCGTTCGTTCATCTATTCAACACTCCAAGTACCACCACCTCGCAACTTTTCATCATATATTCCCCATAAAGAGGCACCGCCATCCAGCAGACATTTTAAGGACTAAACGAGGTGAGACACGCGCACTTTCTTACGGCTTGCACTTCGGGTCTACTTCCCACCTTTAACCACCCCGAGTTCATGGTATATACTAGTTAATTTTGTATTGATGGCACTGTGGCTCAACGCTCGTTAAACACTTCTAACACTAAGGAGGTGCATTAGCCTTGTATTTTTTACTTTTTTGCGCATACGAGGATACTGTACGCAATAAAAGAATGTCTCGTGATTTCACCACAATGGTAATTCAATCATATGCAAGGTAAACGAGTATAACCAGCGAGTATAACGTAGCAACCCTTTTTTGTCAGATAGTGCTCAATGTACAGCCAATGGCTGCTAATTGGGAAATGAGAGACAAGAGCATTCGGCTTTTAGTTAACGCGCACGACGCAAACATTTTAGTGTTCAACAAAGCACGGGAGAAATATCCTACCGGCACCACCTTGCAGGTCAAATTTTAACACTGGTTACACACTACGACTACGACTACGACTACGAGGGACGAACGGGTGCCACTTTAAGGACCTTCGCCCCTAAAATGGGAGGCCGAAACAGTGCGGCAGCGCCGTGCGCACCCAGCTTCGCTGCACTCTCCATCATTCATCCTGTGTATATGCTGTCACTTTATTATCACATGCCGCTTGTAGATAACAGTTCATACAACTCTTTGAACAGACACTTCGGCAATCATTTTATTTTGTGGGTCACTATACGTAAATGAGATGATTTCAACTTTTCCCTCCGATTTCAAAACAGAAGGCTTCACCGGAAGACCTCGCCAGTAAGATGGTGCACTCAAAAGTGTTCCACGTGGAGAACAGATTTCACTACGCTTTCATACACAAACAAAAAAGAAAAAGAAAGGGGAACCTGGCTGACAGCGGCAAAATAACTGTACATAGAAAATAAAAACAGCTGCCAAAGGCACGCCTGATCATCCCGTTGTTATATTGGGTCGTCGTTTATTGGTTTTTGCTTCTCTCCGACAAAAAACGGCTCGACTAAAAAGGGCCCCTAATATCTATTTTATCGCTCTGCTGTCGTTTTCATTACATGGTCTCGGCAACTTGTGCCCGCACATTAGGTTCATATCCTATCTTTGATGACTCGGGAAGCGGTGTGAGTGCTACGGCTTTTCCCTTCTCCCGGTATCGTTTCATCGCTCAAACGTCCCTGCTGCTCTGATGGTTTGGTTGCCTAATGACCTGACGTGTTTTGTTCCTTAGCTTATGGCTCCCCCCAACCAAAGATCAGAAGACTCAGTGAAGAGGTAAAACCCGCCAGAACGACATAACTGTAATCACGGAATTACTTAGACGAGAAGCGTAGAAGGGTCATGGTACAGTTACTGGCTGCTCTTAATCTGCCGAACTATTCTGGAATCCTGAGTTATTGGAGACAACGTTAAAAGTAGGTTTCTTCTAGTAGCAGCAATCAACACCTGATTGAATTGGCGGGATGTTCGAAAATACAATTCATGAAAGCCTGTTTCGTTTTTCTTTTTTTTTATTTAAGAATACTGTCAATCTCCCAAGACATTTGCACAGGAGTGAATATAAAAAGAATACAAAAATTGTGATGCGTACTCATACTCACAAAACTTACAATACATTGATAGGGTTACAAAGAAAGTAGCAGGACTTTACAGTCATTACTTACCTGTATGTTAAGCACTTCAAATTGGTTGCGCAAGAACAGTGTATCAGTACGATACAAAAATTGGCAGATCTCATGTAAAGTGTAAATCGATTATATTCGAAGCACGAATGAGAAATGTTAATATGTCACTTTAAATTCAGCACAATGCTACGAGGTGGAGGTAAATGATACCATCAATGACTTCCATATAATTATCATGTTTGGATGTGTCGTTTACCTTCGTCATTTATTCACGTCATCTGATACTAAATTTAGTATATGTTGACCTAGCGAAACGGCCGCGAGCATGCTATGAGCGTGGTATGTTGTCATGTTCTCACATGACATGCGTGTCTGGAGTATAATGTTTTCACCAGTCATATATTTCGTCATTCATTGACCAAATTTGGTACATGTGAAGCTAGCGAAACGGCTGCGAGCGTATCATGAGCGTAGCATGTAGTCATGTTGTTACATGACACGCATCTCATGTTTATGACGTTTGCACCACTATCATACCTTCGTCATCCATTCCCGTCCCGTAAAATCAAACTTGGTATAGGTGAAGCCAGCAAAACGGCCGTCAGCGCATCATTAGCGTGGCATGATGTCATGTCGTTACATGAAACGCCTATTATCTTTAGCATTTTTGCACCCGCGTTATACCTTCGTCATCCATTCCCGTCCCGTAATATCAAATTTGGTATAAGTGAAGCTAGCGAAACGGCTGCAAGCGCATCATAAGTGTAGCATTTAGTCATGTTGTTACATGACACACGTCTCATGTTTATCATGTCTGCACCAGTATCATACCTTCGTCATCCATTCCCGTCTCGTAATAACGAATTTGGTATATGTGATGCTAGCGAAACGGCCGTGAGTGAATCATGAGCGTGGCATGTAGTCATGTTACACGACACGCATGTCTTGATTTTCATGTTAGGGTCTGTTGCTTCTGTTCGCCATGCAATCATGCCATACCATACCACTTTTGCAACATGCCATGTGAACGAAACTACCACAACAGCTGCAGGACCATGAAATATATATCATGGCATTCATGACATACATATCACGATTTCATGTTATGACTAGTCAAATATTTTCTTCATGCAGTCATGTTATAGCATACCAAGTTTGGTATCGATACCTTTATCGAAATGGCCAGGAGAGCTAAAGGTCGTAGGCGGCTAGATAGATAGATAGATAGATAGATAGATAGATAGATAGATAGATAGATAGATACATCGATCAATAGATAGATAGATAGATAGATAGATAGATAGATAGATAGATAGATAGATAGATAGATTAGTAGATAGATAGATAGATAGATAGATAGATAGATAGATAGATAGATAGATAGATAGATAGATAGATAGACAGATTGGTCACCGAAGTTCGCCTAGAAATGCCTCGAATTTAGAAAGCGCAGCACTAGAACATAACTCAATGGGAGGCAAACATACAATAAAATTGATAACTGTACCAGGTTACTTCACAAACTTCATATATACAATCAAAAAAGACAATGAGCGTGACTACCGTGTTGCTGATAGCACGGTTTGGCCAGCAAGATCCATATATTTTTCAACAGTGGTCTGTGTAATTACCGTTTCCGAT